AAAGACCTGGCAGGTACCAAAGAAGAGTCTGATTTTCTGCCACTTTTTGGAACCGCCGCTTGACTGTGCAATGTCACAACAGTTATCCCAGAAACCTGGGGAGGAGGGAGGGAGGGAGTCTCTATTCTTCAAAGAGTCTGATGCTACTGTAAAGTAGGCTTTTGAAAAATTAAAAGAAAAAGACAGAAGAGAGTGAATACTTCATCACCTTATATATTTTAGAAAGTAAACGGTGTCCCTTTTTTTGGAGAGGACAAATACTGGCTCAACTTTCTTCTGACTAGCATTTATTCCATTCTGGATTAGGTAGTAGTACACTCCCAGCAGGTCCTATAGCAAAATGTTTTTTTTAAATGGCTATTTACTAATGTAATAATAGGGATTGATAAGGGTCCTACAAGCTTTTGAACAGAGATTTTAACCTATAGCAAAATGTTTTTTTTAAATGGCTATTTACTAATGTAATAATAGGGATTGGTAAGGGTCCTACAAGCTTTTGAACAGAGATTTTAAACCTGCTACCTGCTATTTTGAGCTGAAAACAGATCACAATTAATTCTGGCCTTTGCAATATCATAAGCAAGTTATCTAATCACGTTGAATCATGACTAGATGACACAGACAAATTCTGTTTGGCCCACACTCAATTTGACTTGCTGACACATTTTAGACCTTGAAATGAAGGTTGCATATTTTAATGGCCTCATCAATGGAAATTTAATTAACTGCTGACGACATTTGATGAAGATGTGACTACAGATGGAAATTAGTAAAGATGTGATAATAAACAATTCTGGGAAGCAAATATCTTAATTCCATTCTGCCCAACACATGGATTAACTCTCTGAAAGGGGACTCCAGAAGAGAACATTCTTGATTCTCAACTGCTAAACCACTTTTAATGCTAGATTTCTCTGCCAAGAATGAGCAAAGCAAACTTGGTTGTGGCTGATCGAAAGTCTGAGGTTGAGCATTCTCAAGAATGAAAGCTTTTCCGGTCTTATGACAGTCCAATAAGAGAGAAACCAACTTTTGTACTGTCCAGCATACCAGAATGCGGAGTCCTTGGTGTTCTTTAAGCTTGGTTGTTTTTCTACAGTCTTATTATTACCCAACTAGGTAACATCATCATTGTTATCGAGTTGAGTAACAAAACATCTGCAAGAAAACAACCAAGCTCAGGGAGTACCAATGATCTTACAGTTCAACCTGAGCTACAAATATTCTCTTCTACTTTATACCAGAATGTATTTATTCTTCCAATTTCTTCCCCACTAATATTTAGATGCAGAACAAACAGCTTTAGCTGGTAAATACTTGCCACATTGCTTTTCCTGCCTTCCTGACATCTGAGTTTCACATCTGGAACACAACATCATGGAAGTCTGGGGAAAGAATGGGGAAAGCTTCCAGTTTGGATTGCCACCTTATAAGGCCAGATCACTTTCTCCATAACTGGAACTGGAAATCTGAGAGTTGCTATGGACCTCATTTCTCTCAGGGATGATGGAATTTCAGTTTAAATAGAAGTTTTACATTCCTTCAGAGAGTATTCTCATCTAATTACTGCATTTCAATTTAATTAATTAACCAGCCCAAAACCTCTCACTGAAAATCCCACTTGTTATGGCACTGAATAAGGTTAACCAAAGGCAATCTGGATAAATGATCCATCAATATCATTTGATGCTTAGGGCACATCACCAGCTTCAGTGAATCTCACAGATTCACAGTGGCGATTCTGCCCTGAAGCTGCCTATTCTAGAAAATGCTATTTCTGACAAGAACACACAGCTAAGTCCATTTTTTTGCAATGTGGATTGATTAAAAGACCAAACAAATTTGCTTCTTCTTTTCAACCAGCTTCATTAAGAGATATATATCATTAGCAGCAAGAAGCACACATTGAATGCTGCAAAATTCCTGCAATTTCATACCAGATACCAAGGAACCCAAATCCTGCTGCGCTCTTTGAGATCTGAGCTTGCTTTAAGAGTCAAGGTAAGTCAACTTCCCATCATGGATATGTCAATTCATCCAAAAGCTGCTTATCTTCAATGAGTGCTGTTTGATAATGCCTTGTAAGCTTTGCCCAGGGGCCTAGTTTTCAAACACATGCTTCAGTTAACATTTAGCATGTCCTACCATAATAGAAAAAGGAACTCACAGGTACCACTTGTGAAGTCTTTATGATTAATGAAAAAAAAGAAAGAAACCAAAGTACTCATGTAGCTCCTTAGATATGGAATGATTCATTTACCATGTACACTGGCTCTGGCAGATACAGAGATGCAAAAGGCAGCCAAATGTAAACTTTATGACCCAGTTAATAACAACAGAACAGCCCCTCTTGAATTTCTGCTTAACAATCCATACACTCTTATTCCAAAGCTGCATTTTATACATTCACTTTGCCTTTTGTTTATTTAGTTGTAGGCTGACTAAAGAAACACAAAGCCTTATGGATGAGGCAAAGGATGATTTAGTCCAGCCTTCTGGGTCATACCTCTTGCCTACCTAGCAGTTTGAAAGCATACAAATGCGAGTAGATCACTAGGTACCACTTTGATGGGAAAGTAACAGGGTTCCATGTGTCTCGGTGTATAGTCATGCTGGCCACATGACCATGGAAATGTCTTTGGACAACGCTAGCTACCTCAGCTAAGAAACGGAGATGAGCACTGCCCCCTAAAATTGGCACAACTACAAAAGGGAAACCTTTACCTTTTCTGGGTCACATAGCAGACAATCAGATGCATTTTGAAAGCTCAAAAACATGGAGCCTTCTATCCTTACTTCCCTACAATTGGCCTTTACAGCACACATTATGAGGACACCCTGGAACCATCAAAACCCTGGTTAATTTGATTTGCATATCACATTCAATCATGATTTGCTTCATTGTTGTTTATGAATAAGCAACAATTGGCTGAGTTCCCATAATATGGTGGCTTCTAAACAGTTATTCGGAAACTAGAATGAATGACTGTGTTTGCAAATCATGCTAAGCTGAGGCCCAAAAAACCACACTATATCATACTGCAATTAGGAAAGCCAGTCATATACTTCATATCCTAAGACCTGATATATTAGGAGATAAAAAGGACTTTATATGGACTACCTGAAAGTGGGATATGTGTAGGGAAAATGGCTACTTGCTAAAAGAAGTTAGGCTATAAAGAAACTTGAGTGCTTTGCTTGGTGTTCTAAGCTGTTTTAGTATACTGTATTTTTCCTCAATATGGTTGTTTTTATATGCATATGGATTGCAGTTATCAGATTTTCTTTAGAGATGTTGGTAAGGATTCCTGAATTTGTAGTCTTAACAAACTGGAGAGCATTAGATGGGGAAGCACTATACTAGACTAAGCTAAGATGAACATTGAGTAAATTAGTCGAGTACTTTTACAGTAGCCTGCTTCCCTATACTTATCCAGCTTCCAATTAGTCAGGTACATACTAAAATTTTAAAGATTGCAGTACCATTGCCAAATAAATGTTGCATCATACACACAACTTTGTGCGAGATTTAGCTTTTTTTCAAGCAGACTGTCAAACAAAGCATGAATGATGGCTTTTGGCAAAACCTAGGACAGTGGTGGTGAACCTATGGCACGGGTGCCAGAGGTGGCACTCGGAGCCCTCTCTGTGGGCACACGTCCCATTGCCCCAGCCTTGCCTCTCCCTGCGACCCCCTCCTCACCAGCAGCCCCCTGGAGGAAAGTCGCCACCGAGCGTAGCCCACGTGGAGCAGTGCAGCCAAGGACATGGCAGTCAGGCACGTAGACAAGACTCTGCCCTCATGCCCCATCATGCAGTTGATGCTGCGGGGCATGGGCAGAGGGCATGGCCACCATGGCACTGCTGGGCTGCCTGGGTGATCTGCGGCAGGCCCTGGAGGTGATGAGTGGCCCTGCGGGCAGGTGGGGTGGGGGCAGGGCAAGGGGTGGAGTGGAGTGGGGGCAGGGCCAGTTTTTGGGCATTCGGTCTCTAAAAGGTTCGCCATCACTGACCTAGGATGAATTTATTTGTTTCTGTGCAAACTTACTTCCTCATTGACTCTGGAAGCTAGAACAAGAAAAAGAGAGCCAACACATATCTCCATTGCTGAACTCATGTGGATGCTACTGTAAGAGGTAATTTAAATGTATTATGCCCCTATTTAACTGGGAGTAAAAGCAGGCAAAAGTTTGGACTGCCATGATTGGTATGGTCATTGTAAAATATGTATAATACCTTCTATTGGCTTTGGTGCCCAGATATTTTTTTTGTCTTTCTTATATAAAAGAGCACATTTCAAAAGCACTGAGGTAAGAATGCCTGTGTCCTTACATAGGATCCAAATATTTTCTTGTAAATAAATATTATGCTTAACACTGACATTTTAAAAATACAAGGTTGCCTCCAATTTCTGCCTGCCTTGACTAGAAACTAATTATTGATTTAGCAACCATACAAAGAGATATAACTTAATATCCTCCATTCTTAACCAAACAATAGGAAGATATCCAATGCAGGAATAGCAATGAAATTTGTTTATTGAGGCCAAACAATTTCTAATACAAAATCTTCACTTGGGCATCCTTCCACGTAAGTCTTAAGATCTCTTGGGATCCTACCTACCCCTGCACCATCAAGACATTGAAAGTATACTGGCCCCCAAAGAGAAGGTTTTTTTTCCCCAACAGACTTCAGCTGAAAGTTTGTCAATGGCAGGCTTTGTGGGTAGTTGGTATTATATTTGTACCTTGCCTGTTTCATCTCCATCCTGGCTGAACAAGGGAAATATATTTTGTCCCCCCCACCACCTCTGTTCTGCATCCTAGCAAGTGCAAATTGATTTTACAGATGAGTGAGCCATCTCTTCTATGCCATAGCAAAAATACCTCTGTCTAATAGCCATCCAGACTGAAAGTCTCCATGAAAAACAAGTGACAGAAGCAGAGCAATATTGCTTAGTGAGAAAATGGGTCCTTTGAAAAAGCACCTGAAGTTCTCACCTGCCGGATCCCCAGGTGGTAGGTGAGGATGCGGTCCACAGCATCAGGATTCATCTGGGTCCATTCCAGGCTGTAGGCATACACACGGGCTCTGTTCTGCCACAATGGATTGTAGGTGTCATAATAGAATTCTGGAGCATATGCTTTGCCTACAGGTAATAAATTGGATGTACAAGTGGTAAGTCAAGAAGGCGAAGTACAGCGAATAATAACAAACATTTTTTTCAAGGTATGTGTTGAATAGGTGCTAATATTCTCCCCAACTGTTCTTAATTTGCCTTTGCCTAAATTCCTGAAGCTGATGCTTCATTTTAATATTCAATAAAAAACAAATTAAATATTCACAAAACAATATTCTCTTGCCAATATTCATTATGGAACAATATAGAAAAGTTCTGAGATGGGATGAGGCCAAACAGCTTACCAAGTCTATCTTCTGCATCACATGTTGTTCAAACAGATACATTTAGGAATCTCATAATGCATCAGTAGAGAATATCTTTATTTTTCCATTGCTGCTTCCTAGCAGGTGATATTTGTCAGCCCTCCCAGACAAACCAAACAGGAGACATAGCTAGATGAACTAATTCTACTTTACTGTAAGGCTACATTAACATAATCTTGCAAGTCTTAAAGTAAAACTTCCTGCTGCCACTTTTAAATGTTTTATCCATTAGGGTGGCTCCTTCTTAAGATTGTTTCTCTGGTCATTTAGGCAGAGGCTCCCAACCTTTTGGGCACCAGGGACTGGTTCTGTAGAGAGAGGTTTTTCCACAGACCGGGATGATTGGTTTCACCATGCAGCCTGCATCCCACATATGCACAGATGGGGCTTCACTCATTTGAGTGGCGTAGTTTCTGGCATGCTGCAGACCAGGTGCTTGCGGATCTCTGCATTAAGGCACTAGGCACTCCTGCCCCTCTTTTCCAATTGTTTCCTATGCAGCATCTCTTTCTCTCATTCTCCAGGGTCACCCACACATTCCATTATATAGTTAATGTACAAAGCTGCAATTCAGGAGGCAGCAAACAGCCATTAAAACTAGAAGCTATGGGTAGTTTGATATTTGATTTTCTCCAATTCTTTTCAAATACTTTCTAAATCTATAAGCCTCACCTTAGCAAATGCTACTCGAGGTTTTTAAGAAGAGACTAGACAGCCGCTTGTCAGAAATGAGCAGGGGGCTGGACTAGAAGACCTCTAAGGTCCCTTCCAACTTCTATTCTATTCTATTCTATTTTCTATTCTATTCTATTCTATTCTATTCTATTCTATTCTATTCTAGTCTAGTCTAGTCTAGTCTAGTCTAGTCTAGTCTAATCTAGTCTAGTCTAGTCTAGTCTATTGTCAATCAAACCAATGGCAGCAAATCCACGGTATCACCAAGTAACATCAGACGATATGCAAAGTTATACCAGAAATTGGTCTATCAATAACCTGTTTTCTTAAATTTAGGGATGGTGCTAAAGAAATGATTTCATAAAATAATTTTTTGACCGGATGGCAAAAAGATACAGACTATGCATGAGTTGGAAGATACGTGACTGGGAAATGCAGTAACAATGGGCAAGTGAGAAGGAGATAGGTGTAGGGGGGATAGATTTGAAGGACAGTAGGAAGATCCATTACCCAAGCAAGGATAAAAAAATATAGCTTAAACCCAGTCCAAGAAACAAACTTGAGAAAATGTCTTAGATAGGCCCTCCCTAATTTACACAATGGGGGGAGGAAAAAACATGCAAATTTGAGAAACTAGCTGTTCTAATAAAAATAGTTTTAAACCCATTTAGATTAATTTCTTAATTTTTTTTTTATAAAGTTTTTATTGATTTTTCAATTGAAAACAATAACATATGATGCCTTTAATCACAGTATCAACCAAGAAAATAACACTACTCAATACATTCACGGAAGTGTCCGGTGTCCCCCCCCCCTGCACCCCCCTCTTTCACTTACCACACCTTCCTCCCCCCAGACCTACAACCTCTCCTCCTTCCTCCCTCTCTCCTACCTCCCTTCCTCTCTCAACCATCCCGTCTGGTGCAGTTGGGGTACTGCACCATCCAGAAATTTATCCCTGTAGGATAAATTAATTTCTTAATTTATCCTACAGGGCTGACAATGTGCGCTGATAGTCAAGGAAGCTGTTATGGTGACAGATGAGGAATATAAAAGATGGAAGAAGAAGAAGAAGAAAGAAGGATGAAAGAATAGAAGAGTTATTCAACAATCACATCTAGTAATGCCAAAATTCAGTGGCAACATCTGAGGAGGAGGTTCTAAAGGTTGCAAATAAGCTCTTCATTATTTTTGTATATAATTTTATTAAAATTGGTAAAAAAGATAAAAACTATGAGAGGAGGTTCTAAAGGTTACAACTAAGCTCTTTATTAGTTTTAAATATATTTTTATTTAAAAAGATAAAAACTATGAAAGAAGGTTCTAAAGGTTGCAACTAAGCTCTTTGTTATTTTTGGATATAATTTTATTAAAAATGTTTTAAAAAGATAAAATCTATGAAAAGTAAAAAAGTGCAAAAAAAGGAAAAAGAAAGTAGCAAAGAAAAAAGATTACAAAGAAATAGCTTCTTTACAGCAGGTCTTTGGTGCTCTTGAAGCTTGATGATTTTCTTGCAGACATTTCATTACCAAACTATGTGACATCATCAGTACAATTATAAGTTCATATAACTCATCAGTTATAAGTCAAATTATAAATTTACCTCTTATTCTATGATTACAACATAACTCTCTTTTTTTCTATAGTCTGTCAAATCTTCAAAACCATAAATCATACATTCTTTTTTTCTGGTTCACGCAAAAAGTCTATAAGCAATTTTTGGTCAGCTATAAATGTAGAAGGTCATGAGTCATGAGTCTTTGCCAGATTTTATACTACATTAATTGCTGTTGGCTGCACCTGTTTATGCGATCAGTACAAATTAACAGTACTGGATTACAGACACATATTGGCTGGGCCATTTGGTGAAGTAAATTTGTGAATTTAAAGAGGATTGGGAATGCATTTTCAAACTTTTACACAGACATGAGCTCTATATTGCTTGATTGTTCTGGTAGGCTTATTGATGGCTAACAATCAATCTATCATGGTTGACTCACTATGCAGCCCTCCTCCCAACCAGACAACAGTAACGGGAAGGGGGAGGGAAGGCATTGGAATGTAAGGGAGGCCTGGGAGGGAAATTTGGAATGCAAGTGTGCCGACTGGAAGCCTGAGATGGACCCAACAGCCCAGGTCATCAGCAGGGAAAGTCCCAAGCAGATAGATGGCATGTGAGTGCATGTGATTGATGGACATTGGACAATGGGAGGACTGGAGGAGAGGAAGGGAAAGTTGTCCTATGCTGTTTGCCTGTGAAATCATTAGAACTGGCTTTTCTACTTCTATGCCCATTTGTAAGCTGTAGAGAATGTGATTTCTTTTTTTCACTGATTGCATCCCATTGGGTTAGGTAGCAAAAGAAGCTCCTGGGACATTCCTTTACCAAGAGTATAACTTTACTGAAGATTCCATATGGGTACAGAAGTAGAAAAGCCAGTTCTAATGATTTCTTGTGCAAACAGTGTAGGGAAGCTATGCTGGAAGAATGGGGGGGGGGGAGAAAAGGGGAATTGAAAGGAGGAGACAAAAACAAATTCACCATCCATTCTTTCAAGTTTAACACCATATCTTATAAAAGGATCTGCTAAATATAGTGCAGGAAAAGGCAGACTAATGGCATGGTATATTTCTCATTTCCCTGCTTTTGATTGACAGGTCTCTGTTCTCTTTACACTTCAGATGCCATTTGATGGAAGGCTTAAGGGATACAGCTTTTAGAAAACTAGAGTAAATTTTATCTGTTTAAAAATCAGAATAGATTTGTAAGTAAGGTCAGTACCATCCGAACTACATAGTGGCACTATCCAATTTAGTGAGGGGAGAGAGAAAAAACAATAGTCCTGAAGTTACTCTAACTCCCAGGTTTTTTTTTTTCTATTTGTTATCTAGAACTAATCCATCCAGAAATCATTAAAAATAATTTTGAGCTTTTGGGACCCCATCCTGGCTCCACTCTTACCTGCATTGACACTTATGGCCAAATACCCAAAGACTGAGAGAGCTCAAGAACATTGTCCTTATAAAAAAAAAGGGAAAAAGGACGACCCTGTCAAATATAGACTGATCACCCTCAACATAATTAGCAAATTTTATACAAGATATCTACAACCGAAACTCCAGGACTAGCTGAAAGAAGAAAACATACATGCAGAAGAGCAAATTTGATTTTTTTTTAAATCCTAAGAATAACATCATTTGCGGAGTATTCTGCACCAGGCATTTGGTTGAAATAGTCAAACAAAGCAATTCCAAGGTTTTTACTGTTATTCTTAAAAAGAGAAGAAAAATCCTCTGGTTGAGTACCTCCCAAAGGTAGCAAAATATTCAGACTCAGACTGAAAATAGCTTTAACATCCCCTTAGAATTTCAGGAGAGATAAATGGCTCCATGAAATAGCAATAGTACTTAGACTTACTGTATATACTGCTTCACAGTGCTTTACAGCCCCCTCTAAGCAGTTTACAGAGTCAGCATATTGCCCCAAACAAACTGGGTCCTCATGAAACTATACAAGTCGATAATCAGATATATGGGTGGATACCTAAGCCACCTTTGGATGAGAAACAATATTTCAGAACTTTGTGAAAGATTTATATATATGGACATGAGAACTTTTCTTCTATCAGGAAACTCTGCCCCTGATGTGAAAACATCACAGCCGTACTTGGTCTTGAATGGGGACCTCTGTGGCCATTTGTCAGTATAGGCAAGAGAACTTCAATTGCTATTAGCCTCAGAAGATATCTTATCTCTCTCTGGCATCTCATATTGATGATGAATGTGCAGTCTCCACAGGGCAAGGGAGAAAAAGCATCACATTGCTCAAGTAACAAAGCTGTTACCTGAACTGTCAGGAGAATCAATATGGAACAAAGTTGCTTGTGTTCAACAGAGTAATGCAAATGAAAGGATGTGGGGGTGGGGGAGAGAGAATCCTACATTTCTAAAAGAACCACGAAACATGAAAGTGTTATACTCAACTAGATAAACCATGTCTCTTTGGGCCGTTGTTTCTGAGTTATTTTC